CGCGATCAGTGGCGGACCTAATAACCAAAGGACCCTGGTGCAAGATTTTATCTTGGGCCCCCCTCCCGAGACGCCCTACCCCCAGCGGTCTGTTGCAGTAGTGTGCTGGACTTACCTGAGACCCTGCAGAGCACACCATGGATCCTGCAGAGCCCACCTGAGACTCTCTATGGTGGGCTGGTCTGGTCGTCGGGATCCCTTTCCCTGTACCTCCTCCCAACTCTTCTTACCTGCTGCTGCTTAAGCCTGGCCTCCTCCACCCCCTCCCCTGTCACCTCTGCCATGCCGCCCCAAACAGTTGATACCCATGTAAGAGGCCCCCCTGACCCCTCACATGGGTACTGGCCATACCCCCCCGATGGCGGTGTTCTATCAAAGGTTGTGACTACGTTAGAATGTGTGACCGGTGACGTGGGCACACGTTTTAACGTTATCCCGCCCAGTTTTTCGGCGGTGGAATGTGTGACCGCCAATAGGTGAAGCATTCCAGCGCTTTCCCAGCTGTTCCAGGGCAGATGGGCATCGCAAATCGCATGTGCAGGAGAACAGATCTGCCCTGAAACAGCTGATCGGTCCTGAAATTTCACTTTTCTCCGACTGCGATCTCACATTCCACCGCACTCACAAAGTTGGATAGAAGTGACGTTTCAGGACCGATCAGCTGTTTCAGGGCAGATCGGTCCTCCTGCACATGCGATTTGCGATGCCGATCTGCCCTGGAACAGCGGAGAATACATTGGAATGCTTCACCTATTCCACCGCCGAAAAACTGGGCGAGATTACGTTAAAATGTGTGACCACGTCACTGGTCACACATTCTAATGTAGTCTCAAACTGTGATAGAACAGAGGCCTGTCTGTAGTCATTTAATCAGAGAAATAGATTATAATAGGGAACATTACAGTGTAATATTCCCCATTATAATCCACTTGTTTAATTACATGAAAAAGCAGTACACAACCCTGTCCCCCCCCGGCCCCCCACGCGTGGGACTCACCCAGCCAGAGAGTTTCTAATCGATGTGTGCACTGCAGGGGGCGGCTCTTGAGACACACAAGCCTCCTGTGACTCACCTCCCCTCCCGCCGCCTGTTACTATGGACGCAGCCGGGAGGGGAGGTGAGTCACAGGACCTGCCCCTTCACTGAGAAGCCCGTCGGCAGAGCGGGGCCCCGGTGTTTGAACACTGGGACCTTGCACTGCCCCATATTGCAGGACCGGACCCCACTGAGGCTGTGGGGGGTGCCCAGGACCGGACCCCACAGGGCCCCCCCACAGCCTCTGCGGTAGTTCCGCCACTGCCCGCGATCGTACAATAATCGCCAGGTGTATGGAAGGTGTGCAACAGTTTGTACTGTACGGTTGCATGTCTTTTGTCTCCCGAGCAGGCTTAAAAACCCGCCGAGAATCGTACGATTTTCGGCGGGTTAGTTGCATTCTCGGGAGACAAATGCCGCACAGGCCGGTGTGCGCAAATGTGCGCACTGCCCGTGCGGCATTTGAGTCATCGGGAGCCCTCCCCTCAGCGGGGCGGGCTTGCAATGATTGCAAGTACAATCTGCCTGTCCAGGATGGGCAGATCGTACGAGCTTTTAATTACTTTACAGCCATCGCACGGCCAGCTTTACTGTGTTACTGCCATGGAAAGGTTTAACTACTCCACTACTGCCATATGTTTAAATGGAGGAGTGGTGGCTGTGGTGTTCTGGAGTGCTGTTTTAAAATGGGATGGGGAAATTTTACTAAAGCTGCCCATACACCATGCGAAAATGTTCGTCCAATGATCGAACCGTCGTACGATTTTCGTACGGTGGCCCCATCCTGCCCCGACCATCGCACCGTTTAATTAGCGATCTTTAGCAGAAATCACGGGGGCGAATTTCGTTAATCGACCGCACAGTTTTTCGTTTTGCGCATTAGCAGTGTTAATCGTACGAATTTTGACGTACGGAAACGCCACCAACCTTGCGGAAAGCGTACGATCGACCGAAGTTTTCTAGCATGCTGGAAAGACGAACGTCGTACGATTGTACAGTATTTGCGGTTGTAGACTCCCATCAACCTTACGAATATCAGACGAAAACGCGATCGCAAACGAAAATCGGCCGATATTCGTAAGGTGTATGGGCACCTTTAGACTGAAACAAACAGAATCTGAAGAAACTGTGCACGGCAACCAACCAGCATTCCAATGTAGATCATAGGCAATGCACAGAGTGGCTTTGTGCCTTGTGGTCGCTGTGATGGCCAATCACAGTGATAACAAATGTAAACAGTACTAGTGAGAGCCCTCCCCTTTTTCTCAAGTGAAGGGGAGGAAGGATGATTAACCCCTTAGTGACACAGCTTCAGAAATGTTTTCGTACCTGCTATGTGTTTGTTTAACCATCATTTCCATCTTCCTCATTCATTGCACCCACACATATTATATACTGTTTTTAAAGGGCAAAATGGGCTTTAATTAATCAGATGCTTATATAATATTTTTTATGAAAAAAAATACAAAGAATGGAAAAAAAATTGTTTTTTTACAGCTTTGGCAATAATAATGTGTACATGATTAGTGTAGCTAACAGAACGTAATTCATAATAAATTATTTTATTTGTCCTGATTTATAGGGTATATCATGTGTCTGGGATTTCAGTTTACTTTGGGAGTTATAGGTCACAAAATACATAGTTACAGAGTTAGGTTGAAAAAAAGTCAGAGTACAAGGGGTGAAATACAATTTTAGAATGTGGTATGTTTGTCTCCTAACTTTAATAGCCTCCTCAGCACTAGTTTTTCTTATCCCTTTTTTTATTAAATATATTTTTTAACTTTTTTCCTAAAATTGGAAAAATTTTAAAAACTAACATTTTTTTTGTTTATTTAAAGGGGCTTTTGAAACTAAGTATTCTGAGTAAATACTGTATTCTCTTCAGAGATACTTCGTATCACTGTGTAACACATTAACCCAGCTTCCAGCTCCACACCACACCACAGTGAGCTAAAAGCTGTCTCGGTGGCTATCACAGTACGGTGATCACTGCGATCAGCTATTGCAGTGATCACCGTGCTGTGACCACCTAAATTGCTGTTGAGGGTCTGCCTCGGACTCGGAGGAACCCATCAACAGCATTAACTCAATGCATGGACCAGCGCTCATTGTACCACATAACGGGATTTTTCTGTCACTGGTTGTCCCCCCCCCCCCTTTCCTGTCCAAGCCAGTTTTCAGTATTCAGCACAGCATTACTTTGACTGAAAATTATAAGTCATACAATGCGGTACTGAAATTAATTTTATATAATTGTTTTGGGGACAGATAGAGCTTCCTTTTGGAGATATTTAATTACCACTGGGGGTTTTTTACTATATAAAGAAAAAAGCACTGAAAATTTTGAAAAAAACAAGTTTTCCCTACGTTATGTAGGGAAACATTTATTATTACCCATTTTTTGGGTAAAATATATAAGATGGGGTCATTTCGGGAAAATAGACACCAAACATGTCAAACCTTAAAATTGTCTCCGCCTGCGAAATTGCAAAAAAATACCATACCCAAATAACAGCTTTTACTGCTCATCAATTTAGTGTTAACAGTGATTGATGGCCCTAGATTGTGTGATTGAGCCCAACAAGTCCCCTACATAACAGCAAATATGATGTGACAGGTCCTCTTTATTATCTGTTTTGCCTGAGGAAGGGACTTTGCTGTTCCGAAACGTCGCTCTGATGATGTGACACCTGTGAAGTCAATAAACATTGACTTTTCTACATGCTGGAGTGCTTGTGACCTTTTTAGTATTTTTAGGTCCTCTATATGGAAACATCAGGCATCTATCAGACCCCTAATGTCACCTAGGGTCCCCAAAGAAGCTGATGAAGCAGAGATCTACTTCACCAGCTTCTCTCTGGCTACAACAGCCAAAGAAATGGCAGCTTGAAGCTTGAAACCACAAATTATGTAATGCACCTCACTTCCACATTCAGTGATCGGAGGTGAGATTGCAGCCTTGGAAGTATGCTGATCTCCCTCATGTCAGTGGTTTTAAACAATGTTCATGTTTCCTGCTCCCGTTCATCAAGCAGTTAATGAATATTTCAATGAATGAAAGGATTTAAGAATGAAATGGTATTCCGAGATAATGCCTTGTCTATGTATATGTGCCATGTATTATCAGAGCACAGATACATAGATGATATGTTCATGGAATGACATGGCAATTGAGAGGATCTAGAAGATTCTTTGGACTGTTTAAATTCTAATGAATTTTATCTGATACATGCAAAAACACAGATTTGTAATATAAGTATTATTTACCAAGAGGGCATAATCATCTCCTCTTACAGGAAGAGACAGCCGTCCCATGGTTAGACCAGTCCTTGGAGTGTCTCCCCCTCCGCTCTGCGGGTCTAACGTCCATGAATCATCACATCCTATACACCGTATATGTATAGGATATAAGGACACCGAGGGACATAACATCACTGCAGCGAGACAGGCTGGTGGGGGCACTGCACAGCTAGCCGGATTTGAGGCTCAGGTGAGTATAATGTTTTTATTTGTGAAACAAGCAGTTAACCCTTGCAGGGTGGAGGTAACCCCACTGCAAGGGTTAAGAATTTGTTTTCCTGGAGTTCTGCTTTAAAGCGCTGCTATGTGAATTATAAACTAGGTGTTATCCCAATTTGGCTGCAAAAGTTGAATTACACTATATGTAAAATGACACATTTAAATGACTGTAAAATAAAATCCCGGCCGCCATATTGTGGTTGGCGGAAGTCTATAATCTCTGCTCCGCACTTTCCTTTTTCTGAAACAAAACAGAATGCACATTAACTATGCCGATAGCCGTTCCCGCAGCTTCCGTGTGTTTTGTTCACCACATATTAATAAGCAATGCTTTTTTTCAGAACACCGGAGACGGCGCCGAGGCCTGCAGGAGAGCGGAGCGTGGAATCTGCGGCGGAACAGGAAGCGGAAGTGTGGGGGCCGCCATCTTGTTTCTGGGGCTCGCTAGCTGTCGGAGGCCCTCAGTGTACCTTCCTGCGGTGTAGTCGTTCAGACAGGTCGGGATGTTCTCAGGGGCTCCTCGGAAGAAGAGCAGCGCCAAGCAGCAGGCGGTGGCGGATCTGCTGGTGTTCGGCTATGCCTGCAAAGTGTTCCGAGACGACGAGAAGGCCTTGTACCACGAGCAGGGCAAGCACCTCATCCCTTGGATGGGAGACCCCCACATTCTCATCGATAGGTCGGTTGGAAGCTCGTGACCATTACCTAATCTAACCCGATCTGATTGTTTATGTTTTCAGTGGCTGCTCTGACTCCTCTGCTGCTAGACAGGCCTGCGGGTGTCCCTGGCTATGTGCCATCCCTCTTTGTGTACATCCCATTGGATTGTATACACAGTGGACGATCCCTGTAGAGTCTAGACAAGGGCACCATGCATAGAGAAGAAGCCAACCACCCAGTCTGCTACAAGGAATGGCTATGCAAAAAAAAAGGAGCCCCCCCCCCCCTTACATTTTTATTTTCCTTTATTAGGACTCGTTCACACAGACATATTGCCATCCAGCGCATAAGGTGCCTGTATTTGTGGAATGTATGTAAATGCTGTGTGTAGGTATACAGACGTTTGCAGAAGCTTTGCATTTGGTAGCTTACACGCATGTAAACGTTGGTACACCTGTGTACAGAGTTTTCTATCCATACATGCCAATACGCCTACGTTTGCAGTTTTGCACCCATGTGCATGGGTCCTACCTACCCTTGTGCGCTGTGTTGCCTTTAAAAAACGTACACCCATTGAATCCGGTGTGTGGTGTAATCCGCAGCTACATGCCAGGCTCCATGCAGTCATTGTCTCTTTTTATGTCATCAGGGAGCCTGCTGCTTCCTGGTTCTTGCAGTTGACAGTGTAGCGTAGATTGTGCAGCACATGCACAGCGTGCTTTTTTTTTATTCTGCACATATGCACCGTGGTGTAAACTGCATGGCAAATTCGCACTGTTGCATAGATCGCCCCATAGTCTCCTGGGATGCATGACCCGTGTATCCGAAGAGGATGCAGGCAGCTGGGACTATGTCACTCTTGCCAAGGTAATCAAGGCAGAAGTTTCAGCTGTTTTGTAAAGAAAAAAGATATATGGAATATATACATATAGTTGCAAATGAGGGGAAGGCACAATAAGCAATATTAGATACAGTAGCAAAGAAGAAGAAGAACCCCCCCCCCACACCCAACACTATACATACCTGGTGCAGCTTTGCATTCTGATGTCAAAACATCTTCTGTTCATTTGGTAAATAAAAGATTTATGCTGCTACACTTACTTTAATGCCATTTCCTGGTATATTGAGGCGCTGGTGACTTAGTCAGAGCCCCACAGCTCCTCCCTGGGAAGTCTACATCACCAGTGCCTTCCATAGAGTAAATGTATCAAACAGTAGTGCCACTTCCTGGTATATTGCGGCGCTGGTGACCTAGTAGGGGCCTCACAGCTCTCCCCTGGGAAGCCCACATCACCAGTGCCTCCCAGAGAGATCACATCTATAAACTGTGAGATCTCAGTGTGGGGAAGGCATTTTCCCCCCAGATGTGTAATGTATCAAACGGCGACAGATCTCCTACAGTGCATGCTGAGATCTGGTGCTGACATCAGTGGGCAGGCAGTGAAAATGTGGAACTAGGAGCGGGCTGCAATGACGTCTACTAGTTAAAATGGCGTGTCGGATTATAGGAGTGAGGAACATTAGCATGTGGTAACAGGAAGAAAGGTGGCCAGATATGTTCAAAGATACGTTACTACAGTAATGGTGGCAGTATGATATGGGGACCGGGGGGGTCCTCTTTAATCCACCTTTTTAAATGTTGCCTCCTCACTGCTCTTATATTCATTGCATACAATTTATGTGCGGAGGTGAGAGTTAACTCTGTCAGGGCCAAAAACACCGTACATCTGTGGATGCCAGCGGAATGACTTCACAGCACTAAGTATTCAGCAGTGTTGTCAGCTCTGTACAGACAGGCTCTTGCTGGAGCTTTGTGGTCACAGGACTCCTTGGAAACCCAAAAAAGGTATTTACATTGCGGTTTATTAGAAAGTGTATGCAGTTAATATAAAAGCAGTTGAGAAGGAACATTTAAAAGCGGGTTATTACATAGCCTTTCTATAATGCAGCCTATCACATGTGAACTAGAAATAAATGTTAAAGTAGATGCAAACCCAGACGCGGGAAAAAAGGGGCTCCAACACAACCAGGTAAATAAAAAGGTTATTTTCATTATTCTTAGATCATATGATGCCCAATGATCCTCCTATGAAGGCCCTTGTTCAGCCACTTCCTCTTATAGTGTAACAACGCTCTGTCACTGTCCCCCAATCATGCTCAATCATTGTCACCCTGTCAAATGATTCCTAGTGGGGACTGAGCTGCTTTGCACCGAGAAATGATGTGAAACCATTGCTGGAGTGCATGCATGTAGACAGGAAGTGGCTGCAAAGAGATTCAGGAGATCATTAGTGCTGATATGTATTAACCTTCCTGGCGGTAATCCCCAGTGTGGCTCGGGGGGTACATTTTCTGTACCAAAAGCGGTAACCCCAAGCCGTACTCGGGCGTCTTCCGGGTTTCTTCCCTGCGAGCACCGGCATTGCAGGGGGGCGGAACCGGCGAGAAATTCAAAAGTAAAAAATAGAAAGACAAATACTGAGATAATCATACCGCCAGGGAGGTTAAAGGAGAACTATGAGGTGAGTGCTTTTCACTCACCTCATAATTCCAGCCGACCTGTGACAATGAGACTGTCACAGGTCGGCTCAGTAGATCGGGAGGTGAGCGAACACATACCGGCATTCGCTCACCTCTCAATCCTGTCACGGCTCTCTGCCGTGACAGGGGAGGGGCTGGATTCCCCGCTCCGATCCGCCAGCACTGACTAGTGGGGCGGGTACAGCTGGCTCTGCCTCTAGATAGGCAGAGCCAGCTGTCAGTCACGCTTGTATAATTGTAAGTCATAATTGTATACTGAGCCTAGTGTCCTCCCGTTACCCTAAGGAGAACTATGGGGAAAAGCCTTAACCCCATAGTTCTCCTTTAAAGGATGAAAAAGAAACAAGATGCCGGAAGTTTTTGCTTCACAGTGCCAACGAAACCATTAAGTTACTGTTTACATCTACTTTAATATTTCACTGTATCATGTGATAGTGTTCTCCTAAGGGTGCTTTTGGTTATGTATAAAACCATTGACATTGGGACCATATAATCTGCAATGTCCCTCGCATGGTGTGACAGTGAAACGCCGCTACTTTACTAAGAGACATTTTTAGCTGCCATTGCCGATCTCGTTCTGAAAATTATAGCTGCCCGACTACTTTGTATGTCACTGACGTGGAACAAGTATGTGGGATGAGAACCCAGAACCCTAATAATGCGAGTGCAGGCCTTTCTGACAGTACAGGGGTAGCAGCAAAGCTCATAACACTAGTATTGCAATAGAAAGGTTAAATTTCACCTCACTTCCGTACATTGCATAGATGTGATATTAAAAGTCAGTGCTGAGTATCTCTGCAGTTCTAACAACTTTTAGCTTCCTAGCATGATTGGCCCTGCTTGGGGTTACTGGAATAAATAAAATATTGCAGGTGAAAGCTCTTGATTGTGTTTTTCTTGCCTTTATGTGTTAATTATGGCTTTTCTTTTATGGTATGGTGTTTTTTAAATTTTAATTTTTTATACTGGATAATTATTTTACTTGACTCAGTATTATAAAATACATACAGTAGTTAAAGTGTATATCAAGGCAAAATTAGAAATATTTCATACATCTCTGGTATACATGCAGGTCTCACCATGCTCTATACCATGAAAATCTCCGCATGTGCAGAAAAATAGCTGTTGATGTGCCAGAGATATACAGTGGTACCTCGGTTCGCAAACACTTCTTTTCGCAAACAGGAAGTTCAGCAAAATTTTGCTTCCGTTCACGAACTCCGCATCGGGTGACGAACACAACCGCAGCCATCTTCCCTGCTCTGACATGTGGTTGTGGCTTCCTCTAGTCGAGATCACAGTCTGATTACAGTTTGATTCGGTTCACAACCAGAATCGGGGAACGAATTACGTTCGTGAACCGAGGTACCACTGTACTATTGACTTCCCCTTTGACATGACAACACAGCTCTGTATTCCTCAGCATGAGGTGTCAGCACTGCCTACTTATTTTCTGAAAGATTTCAAAGAACACAGACCTACTCGTTGCCCCCTTCATCACCATATCCCATCCTTGTGGAAAGTTATCAGCCTAAAGATTTCTGGCACTTGAAAATATATAACCGAATGCTTTCAGTGGTATAGTTTGAAGACCTAAAGGAAGTAAGAGAAGTACATTTTTAAGCATCATACGAGAGGAAGAAATCTACATCTGATGTATAGAAAGGGCAATGTTTATGTGTAAAGCATTACAAGCATGCATTCATTGCTTTTACTTCAGGTTATATTTGTTAAGAAAAATGGACCAATAGCTTGATACCTTTTTTAGGGTCTATTAGATGATCTGTTTCCCAGGACATTGAGGCAGCATTGGCATGTGTCGTATAGTTGACATTGAACTGGAGGTTTTGTCATGTGAGATGCTTTCAATGTAACAAGTATAGCGTTTATATTATGCTTATTTCAGAAATCTTAAAGTACTTTTCAACCATTCACGTAGCTCTCCTCTCCAATTGTGTTTATAATGTTGTGTGCTTACCACAACTTTAGAGCTGCAGCTAACGATTATTTTCAAAATCGATTAGTTAGCCGATTATTAAGTTTGATTAATCGGATAAACAATAAAAAAAAAAATTAAAAATGGCTCCAGTGATGGACTACTAGTTTGTATTGAGATTGTAGTCCATCACAGGAGCAAGCTTGGAGTGGTGTTCAATATAGTGAAAAGGAAAGTGTAAAATTATACAGCAATGAATGCAGAATGGCACCGGCTATAGAGGACTACAAATCCCAGCAATAGTACATTATACAGCGCAATGCAGAATATCACCAGCTATAGAGGACTACAACAAATCCCAGCAATAGTACATTATAGCTGGCTATATTCTGCATTGCGCTGTATAATGTACTATTGCTGGGATTTGTTCTCCTCTATAGCTGGTGGTATTCTGCATTGCACTGTATCATGTATTATTGCTGGGATTTGTAGTCCTCTATACAGTGCAGTGCAGAATATCACTAGCTATATAGGAATACAACAAATCCCAGCAATACATTATACATACAGTGTATAATGTATTGCTGGGATTTGTATTCCTATGTATAATATACAGCACAATGTACCATCAGCTATAGAGGAATACAAATCCCAGCAATACATTACAGAGCACCATGTGTGGGAAAGTGCAGGCTTATCTGAGCAGTCTTCCAGCAACTTGCTTCTGAAATCGGGCCTGTCTATCGGCGGCTGTGATCCCCCCCCACCTGCTCCTCCTTACTTCTTCTCCCTGCATCCCTGTGCTGATCGTGGATGTGGGCAGGCGGTGAGTGTGAGGTGGGGAGGAGGTGCGGTGAAGAGCGTGGATGCGGGTGGGCGGGTCTGGCAGCGGCAAGCGTGAGGTGGGGAAGAGGTGCGGCGCGCAGCGTGTGTGGAGCCGTGAACAGGGCCAACTGATCGGAAGACGATTAATCGATTATTGAAAAAGTTGACAACTTTTTCAATAATCGATTATGTCGATTAGTTGTTGCAGCCCTACACAACATTGTAGGACCTGTTTTCACAGAACCCAATTAACAGCATGCGAAAGCCAGTGCAAACCCAATAATCCACATTTCATTAGAGCTGCAGAGTGACATTTGTTAAGCCATCTGTCATAACCAACCTACCAACTTCTCCCTGCAAATCTTCATTGTACATTAGAAGTCCAGCTGCTGCTGAGCTTCCGTGCCCGCTACAGCTCCCGGACCTCAGTTCTTTGGTCGCATCTCTGTCCCCCTCTGCGCCTGTCTGGTCACAAAATGGAGCCGAGGGCTGTTTGCTTTGTGATTGGCCAGAAGGAGAAGAGGGCACAGATGGGATTACAGCACTGTGGTGTATGAAACCTATAGTGCTACAGCTGGGGTGGGCTCTATTCAGCGGTAGTTGGACTTCCATCTTTAGGTATACTGAAAATATACAGGGAGAAGGAGAAAGATCTAATTATGGCAGTTAACTATAGCTGGCCATACACTATGCAAATTTCATCTGGTTCTTGATAAACTTCCTGAAATTCACACAGTGGTTGCTGCTGTCAGAAAATCTTCGAATGAACAGAGCGGGCAGCCAATGAGCTGCTGGCTCTGGTTGGGTATTCTGACAGAGGCCGACGGCTGCCATCACAATACACTGAAGACCGCAGTAGATTTCTTGATCAACTCTCGTAAGCTTTGATGGAGGAATCTGTTATATATATATATTTTTTTTTGTTCAGCCCGCAGGTGTGACAAAGAAAATATTTAGTGTATAGCCAGCTTATGTTTGCAGCATAGGTGCTGCTCACCTTGCTGAATTTCCGAAGATAATTGTGCCTGGAGTTGTCCCTTTTAAAGTATTTATCTCTTGTGATATTTGACAGATCTTCAGGGTAGTTAGTACCTTGGCTGCCAGTTTTTCTTGTTCTGTCTTTTCAAATATGGCTTGTTTTTAAATCTCTGTACGGTGTTGTAGTGAAACTATATCATTTACCTAATGTATTTGCTCCAAGTATCCTGTTGCTTACCATCCAAAAACTGTGATTCTAAATCAATGTATTTCTTCTTGACATCTAGAAGTAATAGTGACAGTTGAAGTATGAGATCTCCGTTTTAGAAATTGTGCTTTGGCAGGCCGTGTTGATTTTTGCAGAGTAATCTTTTTGTTTAGGTTTTTTATTGGATTTGGATACAATTTGCATGGAACATTTTTCTTCTTTGCTGGTTTATAAGGAAGTAGAATGTGTTCTGGGCTTCACTCGGCAATATTCTTAGATGTGACTAAGGTTTCCTTCATTGTTTGACAAACCTGCAATTTTGTGCAGTGTACTAAAATAAGTTTCCCTTGTTCCTCATTACAGTTGTTGGTCCATTCATGTTGTTGTAAAACTTTTTTCCCAGAAAAAGAGGGTGTTTGTCTATTAAGATTTCCCAAGTCCAATGTTGAAAAGTCACTGTTGATGTTTGCAGTAGTGGAAGCCTGTGAGTGGATGTTCAGCAAATCTGTGGTGTCTAAAGTGATTCCTTTTATATGATTGGTTGTTGTGGAATTCTGCAGTTATGCTCAGCATTGACTGATGTTTTTGCAGGGAACTTTTACTTCATTAAAATTTTTTTTTTTTTTTGCTGTTGGATACTGAATTTGAATTTAACCTTTTTACTGCAAAAAAGCTCCAGTTCTTGAGCTCGATGTTTGTATGCCCTGCGGTTTTTTATATTTTCAGTCATTTTTGTAGGAGGAAATCTTCATCGATGGACTTCCCAGTTACATTTGGAAGGGCATTAGCTTATTTTATCTTGTTTCAGTTGTGGAAAGAAGTATTCACTAGTACAAATCTTTTTCCAATGAAACTGGTCAGAGATCCACATTTCTTACTCGTGATGTGAAGAGTCCGTATCCACTACTGCCAAAATACTGGCTAGACCTTTTTTTTGGTGACCTCCATTAGTGTCTACTGTATTAAATTTCCATTCTTGGCATCTGTTTTTGTTTTTAACTTACCTGACCAGCCGTTGTTTTGTGGATCATGGACTTGCTATCAATTTTCTTTTTGATTTATTTTATTTTCATTTGGAAAAGATATGTTTGAAGCCTTACTTTCCAGTCAGAGGGATTGTTTGAATATAAACACTAGGGATGCGCCGATACCAAGTATGTGGGCGAGTACAAATACTCCCCCAAATGCTCCCGATGCCTATCCCGATACTGGAACTTCCGGTATCAGGAAGCCGGGCAGCGAGTCATCACCAGGGAGCATGGAGCTGGCTTCCAGGCCAATCAGGAAGCTAATTGGTCGGGAAGCCGGCCAATCAGAAAGCCAGGCAGCGAGTCATTACCCGCCCCCCCAGCTTCCTAATTGGCCAGAAAGCCGGATCCATGCTTCCTCGTCACTTGTTGATGAGGGATCATGGAGATGGCTTCCCAGCTTATCAGGAAGCCGGGCAGCGAGTCGTCATTACACAATGCCCGGCTTACTTAATGGGACTTCCGGTATCGGTATTCGGTATTGGCGAGTACCGAAGAAAAAATATCGGTACTTTTACTTGATACCGAGAAACCGGTATCGGTGCATCCCTAATAAACACCATTAAGTGGTCATATCTGCTTAATGTGTTTGTATTATGTTCTGTTATTAAGCAGCTTTCAATATAAATAATCTAGTTTGTAAGTTAAGGAGGTTTTGCTTTTTATAATTATTGTGGGCTATTTGCTGCCTTTTTTTTTAATTTTTATATACCTTTCATTTTGTCAGTGACCTAGATGATCTCTTCTGCTGTTTTGGTGCTCCTTTTTATTCTTTATAATTTCACTGTGATCTGCTATTATGTGGAATGGCTGATATATTTACTTTGGATAATAACTAGGCTGTTTTTTTTTATGCATATCTTATTTTTCAAAGTTTCCAATTTTCATGTGGGTCAATTGGCACAAGAGCAAATAGCCTTGGCTCTAATTGGGCCCCTTAATTACTGGTTTCTTTTCTTACTGACAAAGCCTCCTTAAAATACATATGTATGTTTCTATTGCCATGTATGTGTGTGTCTCTCTACTACATAACCAGAACTTATTTCTTCAGCCATTTGGCTAAGGGTCGAGCCTAGCCATGATTTTACCACCAAGAGATCCACGCTTCTCTGGCGAAGATTTCTGCTGCGGGTGCGGAACTAGCAGAAAGAAGCGAGAAAATTTCCAGCGTTTGGTTCTTTCGGATAGGTATTTATGTGTTCGGGTTTGTGTGAATGTAAATTAGACGTTTCCAGACACCCCCAATTGCACGAGCATAAAACAAACTATTCATAGTAAGTGGTTGAAAAACATACGGTAAGCTGAACTGCCAGAAAACATTTGGCATTAGAATTCTCATTTGAAGTTACATGAAAAGATTGAGATCTTAGCAGTAGTAGTGAATGTAGTATTCCAACAGCCACTGTGTACAACTCAAAATGCCAGACAAAGAGGAGATAAAACAGATAAGACTTTGTAACATGTTATGGTGGGTCTAGTTTGTCAGGGCAGTTTAGAGAGGCAAGTTCCTATAAGAAAGCACTGAAGCTTACAGTACTTTCTTCTTACCATGGTGTTCATGTTGCAGGTATGATGGGCGAGGTCATTTGCATGACCTATCTGAATATGATGCAGAGCACAACTCATGGAACAGAAACTACAATTTATCTGAAGAAGAGGCTCGTATAGAAGCTTTGTGTGATGAAGAGAGGTATTTAGCCTTGCATACGGACTTGCTTGAAGAGGAGGCACGGCAAGGTATATCAACTATTTCAGCCCAGTACAGTCCTTAACAAATGGCACCCTTGTGTGGAGTGAAAAGACGTAACAAAGATGCATAAAGCTTTATTTATTTGTACTCACTTTTTCTGATATCTGTTTGACAGTACCCATTGGAGTGGAAAACAGCTGTCTGAATGTGGACCTCAGGATAGTTTTATTTGCCAAGCTTTTCAGAGCACTGGAGTTTGATTTTTTTTTTTTTTTTTTTTAGAGACAGTGCAGACAAATTTTCAGAAAACTGAACTTTGTCTTGCACACGTCCATTTGTAAATATGAGGAATGTTTTATTTGAAAAATTAGTGTATTTGAGTTCAGAAGTCTGTTGATTTTCTGATCACGTTTCCTTTTAGCTTATCTGATTTAACTATATATTTGTATTTCCCTTGAAGAGGAAGAATATAAGCGGCTAAGCGAAGCCCTAGCAGAAGATGGAACATATAATACAGTGGGTTTTAAGTACCAGAGTGACTATTATGATCCTTCACAACCCACAGAAGAGGAGGAGCCACAGAAGGATGAGAAAGGTAGATTTGTGAATGTGTATCTGCTATTGATGCTACTTATCTTTTCATAGGGAACAGCCTTTAAAGTTGCACTCCAGGCAAGTGGCCTAAAGTGATGTTAAAGTGAAAAATGTTTAAGATATTTCAAATGATAAATACATTTGTTACAATTAATGTTGCTCCTTGATGTGTAAAAGTTTTAATTTCCGGGCAGAATCAGCCCGCTCCTGAGCACTGGTCGTGACATCTTGTTTTGGGGTGGCTCCTTTCCCTTGCAGGGTCCTATGGAGCACCCATTGTGTGAGCTGATTAGCTGCATCTTGATATCTACACAGGCATTGCATGGCAAGCCACTCCTCTGCTTTTTGCCCCCTTCTTCTTTTTTTCAAGCTGGTAAATGGACAGCTGGAGACTGCTTTGTCCCTTGTGAAGCTGTACTAGACAAAGTTCAGGGAAGGGGAGATGAGAGAGTTGCAGCCAGCTGTTTAGAAACATGATGATTGTAAGTGCTTTGGCAAAAATTTTAATAAATACTTTGGGCAATATGTATTTTTGATCTGAGTTCATAATTGGGGGGGAAATATTACACTGTAATACTACTTTATTTCCATTGAAATACCTACATTGAAACTTGGTGCACCCAGGCCCTCCTAACCCAGGCCCTCCTAACCCAGGCCCTCCTAACCCAGGCCCTCCTAACCCAGGCCCTCCTAACCCAGGCCCTCCATCTCAACTGCAATAGCAACAGCACAGATTGGTCAGGAAAACTCATCTGCTCTCCTCATTGCTGCTGACATTCACAAAATGTTTGGTATTTTTTTTAAAGAATATAAGACATTTTTATTGGAGGAGGATGGGAGAGGGGCAAGGATGTGACAATATCGCCCCTCCTATCACAGAATGTCTTGTATTCTTTAAAAAAAGGGAGAAAAAAGCACCAGACATTTTGTGAATTGAGGATAGGGAAAAGGGTTGTGTGGTGCGGCCAGAGTGCTATATAGCTCAAGCAGCATCTCTTCCCTCTCTTTAGTGCCCGGAAGCTGGGCGTTGTGTGCAGGAGATGGCGTGCTGCAAGGTAAGATTTTTCTACTGTGCAACCACCCTCTGCACATAACACACAGCTTTTTAATTATAATTCACACACCCATTGTGGTGGGTAAATTTTATTTCTGCCCGAAGCGTGGCTTTAAATGTATTTATACCCTGTAAAAAAAAAAAAGAAAAAGTATTAATATAAATGTGTAAGGTTCATCTAGTATGCAAAGCCTAAAATGACCAATTTTATTTATTATACAAAAAAATATATAATTCTAAAGTTAGAACATAAATTAGATCTTCATTCTTGTGGGTAGTTGAGAAAAGTAGAGTGAGTTTATTTGTTAGGAGTGAAAACATGGGAGTATCTATTGGGAGGAATTTATCAAAACTGGAGCAGACGGAATCTAAAGCAGTTGCCCATGGCAACCAATCAGATTCTCTCTTCAGTTTGCCCAGGTAAGATTTGAAAATTAAAGAGAGGTGCTGATTGGTTACTGTGCAAATCTGCTCCAGTTATGATAAATCCCCCCCCAGTGAGTTAAGAAGCTTGGACCTGTTGGTAGGTTATTTTCTTCAGTAAACCACTCGACTCAAGGTAACTGTTAAATTGTTGCTACAAGTCCTGATCTACAAATGCAAAATTCCACAGTTTTCATGCTATGCTGTGCTTTTGTTTGTGTTGGACAATATATTATATTGGTTTAAAATATAATGCATACATTTTGCAGTCTTTACACATAGAATGATATTGAATGCCGGTTCAGCATCCATGCAATCAGCCAGTGCTGTTTTTTTGTAAAGTAATAGTTTATTTCCAAGTGAGAGGAAATCTCTACAGAGTTGGAACAAATCTCCTCTTAGGCAATTGTCACCATAACCGATGTCCCCATTAGAAGTTCCCCTCTTTTCCAGTTCTGGATACAGCAGTGAAAGTTTGAATACCGGGGAAAAAAGTTAGTGTAAAATCTCTGGAGACGGACAGCCAAAACAAATTTTCCAGATGTTCTAACATACCTCACCGCTATCCAAATCTAAAAGAAAAGTTTTGTATTTACAATTTACAGCTATATAAATTTGAAGTGATAGTAAAGGCAAATATTTTTGTTTTGGATAAGTGGAGAAGGGTCAGACCTTCGGTCAAGTTTTTGTTATCGTCCGTGTCACCTCAAGGTGGATTCACCCCTCTAAGTGTCTTGGTCACCATTATCAATTAGACCCAAAATATTGGCATTATAATTAAAGCAAAAGGTGAGGGTTAGGGGCACCATACACATTACAATCTGAATGTACAATCAACTTTAGATTTGTAAAAATGTAATTTTAGGACTTAACTAATATTTCCAATCAGTTTCTATCCAACTATAGAGGTCAGAATTTGATCATCTATCCAATGGGACTCCATACCAATGGGTGGCCACTCTGCGAGCATGGTTAAAGCATTGTCCTATATACCTCTGTGTGTTGGATAATGCAGGTGGGGAGGGGCAGGCCGAATGTGTCCGCTGCTCAGGCAAGGAGGGGCGTGCTGAACGTGTCGGATGCTGCATGCCCCTCCCCATCTGCAGCATCTGACACATTTGGCTGCACTAGCACCGCTCTTCCAGCGTTGTGAATGATTGGTAGATAACGATCGACCTAATGTCACCCCTGAACAAGACAGCCCCTTGTACTAGTTGTTTGGTGACGGAGATCAGCAACGAGCTATGGAGCCGCTGATCGCCTATATGTGAAACACCCGGTAACGGGTGTTTGCATTGGTCGGGTCTTTTCTGCCCGTGCGTGCCCGCAGAAAAAAAATGCCGTCTGTGCAGCAGTGGTTAAAGGAGATTGTGCAATCAGATTGTAATGTGTTGTGAGCCTCAGTCATCCAATGGTGTAAAATGTTTCCGTGACAACTGTCTGATGGAAATTTCGATTCCTTCTCATTCCCTGTGTCTAGGAGAGGAAGTGAAGGAAATCTCCATGACGGTTACACCAGCAATAAAACAAATAGCCCAAAAGGGGTTTTAACTCTTCACTACTCCATCCAAAACGAAACAAAAATTTTTCTGAATACACGATAATGAATATGGTGTGGTAGCTGTTAGTGATGAGGCTGGACTTCACCCAAGCCCACTAAAAACTCTGATTGCCACCCCCTGCTTCCGACCCAATCAGGAGTGGCAGTTGTGGTGTGGGCGTTCCTTCGCCCCTTTGTGATGTATTGCCAATAGGCGGAATGTGCCTCTCTGCAGCTAATTGGGTCAGGTGGAGGTCAGAGTTTGAGCGTGATTGGGTGAACTGGGTTCGTACCAACCACAGCCTCATAACTGTGCGTTGGTTGTAACACAGTCCCAATCCCTCTAAAAGTATATCTCTTATAGTGAGTGCTTCATGTTTGACTCTAATGTGTCTTAGCTCAACTGACTTTGTTTTGTATATTTGTGTAGTGACTTCTATACCTTCCTATAAGTTGAATTGTGTCTTTTGATGGTGGTTGTACAGTGCAAAGTTGTTCTCTCCTATTTGTGCATAGAAAAGCTAAAGCTGATAGTGTGTATTTTATTAGATGTCAGATTTATTTATTTTTCCCCTTTACTTAAGGCTGGGTTCACACCTGGGTGTACCATAGGCGCGTTTTTTCTGCTCGTTTATCAGCACGTTTTTTTGTTCAGTGAAACGCGTGTTCGATTCTCGTTTTTATACCTCCCTGGCGGTATGATTTTGAAATTTATTTTTTCCTTTTTATTTTCTCTTTTTCGTGTTTTTTTTTTTTTTTTTTAAACTTTCAAACTTCCCGCCGGTTCCGCCCCCCTGCGACGCGGCCGCTCGCAAGGGGCGGAAGTCGGCAGCGGCCGCAGGACACAGCGGGGATCACGGACAAGGTAAGTCCTACGCTGTATTCCCGAGTGTGGCTCTGGGTTACCGCTTTGTTAACCCCGAGCCACACTCGGGAATACCAATGGATACGCGCGGAAAAACGCCTCAAAGTAAGCTCCTGTACTTGTTTGGGCATAGGGCGTTTTTTCAGCGCGTTTCCATGGGCTGAAATACGCCCAGGTGTGAACCATCCACATAGGAAAGTATGGAATTTCACTGTTTGAGCCTTTTTCAGCGATTTCGATCAGCGCTGAATATACGCCCAGGTGTGAATTAGCACTAAGACCATGGATCTGCTACGTCAAGGGTAGGCAACCTCCGCACTCCAGCTGTACCTGTTGCCGTCAGTCTTGCAATACCTCATGGGACTTGTAGTTCCACAACAGCTGGAGTGCCAAGTTTGCCTATCCCTATGCTACATTGACATTTCTGGAAGATTTTCCAATTTGAGTTCCTTTTTATGTAGCATCAAGCTAGGTTTTTAATTAAAATGAATGTTAAGCTGTACAATCTGAGCTAATCTCTCCTTTTGCCATCAATCTAATGGCTGTGTAATTCCTTACAAATAGTCTGAACGATTGTATTCATCTTGGCTTATTCGTATTCATTGAGAGCAATGGTCGTATTGAGCCTGAGTAAATACAGATTTTCCTTTGGAATAATAGTAATATTTTTTGCACATATTTGATTTTGCAAGTTGGCCAAATGTAAGCATGTTTGATAAACTGACTAAGTAATGAGAGGAAGTGCAATAATTGAAGCGTTTGCCAATTTTTTTTCTCATGGTTGAAATGGCCGCGGTTTTTGTTGCTGGCCTGAACCTCCTTCATGTCAATAAATAGTCTTCCAATTTGATTTTTAAATTTAAGCATAAGTATAAACATTGTGCCTCTCCTGTGGTCCCCCCCTCTCTGCCAGAGCAGCAGTTCGTAATGCTGTTCTTAACTTGTCAGTTTCTCCCATTATGAGACAATACTTTTTTTTGACGTTCTGCTTTGAGACTACATGAGCTAATGCCATGTTTTCACACCGCAGTCACTTTTCTGTCCAATTAGTTGTTTAGAACAAAACAAATGTTCCTTTTAAATGACACACACGGTTGACTAAAATGCCCTTTATGCTAACGAGCCTCTCCAGCATTCTCTAGTTCAGCTAGGTGAGTGGGTTGGCAAACGCATCAGAACCCTTAAGCAGTAATGTGAGGGACTTTGGGGAGTTGTTTGCATTCTGGTTAAGCCTCATGACACATGTAGTGATGCTTCCTTTATTATCTATTTTTATAAACTGCATAAAGGATAATTGCACGTTTTAGAGAAAAAACTTCCTCGTGCATCCTCCCCCCAGCCTATGCATGTCATAGCATATCATTTTATACCTCGTATATATGGGAAGAAAAAAAGGACAGGCATACAGCCTTTTCTTAGCAGTATGTTTTTTTTTTTTGTTTTTTTTTTCCCTTACAACTTGGTGCTTGTGCTAAGCTCTCGGTGAGGGCCCCAGAGAATATTGGTAATTGCCATATTTATTACATTATTCTCTAGTCCGTCATCCTTATCCTGGTAAATCACCTAAGTTTACATTTAATCACTTCATGATTAGGGTTAGATCAAAACTGTGATTGCCGTATTCAATTATTAGTATTGTTTTTAATCTGCGACAAATTGCTTTGATGCAATGCTGCAGCCCATATTATAATGCCTAACTAAACAACAATTCTTGTATATGGGTGCGCCATGGTCCCTAGCAGCTGCATTACATAACATGAGTAGTTACTGAACCTGACCATTCTGTTTCAGTTGCTGGGTAACTGAGCTATAAATCTCTGCTCCACCGAAATTACTTTGACTTTCAATTCAATTTTTCCCAGCAACAAAAATGTTAAGAGCCATTCTGTATCCGATACAATTTCGTGATACAAAATCACTGGGGTGGCTAAGTGCCTGCTTACAGCTAGTGTACGTTACATGTGAACATGCTTCTGAGCGTGCAGGTGCGGTTCAGCATGCATGGGAATATTATGTCTAGTTGCAGGGGTAGATCTACTTCTTGATGTTGGAGAGTGCAGCTAATAAAGCATGTTAAGTAATTAAGGTGTGGCCTTTACACAGACATGTCCATAAAGCTAGGTAAAGCCACGTGATGGGAATATGCAATTCGTATCTCCTGAAGCCCGGGGCAGTTGCGGGCACCGGGCAGATTTTTTTTGGGCACCACATCCCCATAAACACCCCCCCCACCACCTCCGCCTCCCTTTCTCAAAAGTCTTGCACTTGGTCGTGGACCCGAAAGTGTCTGACAGCGGCAGGAGAGAGTAGACCCGGTGTCATACCTTATCCGGCTGGATGAATTTCCCCTCCTCTGATTGCTGGCATCCATCACCAAGATGGTCACTGGCAGTGAAGTGCATGTAACATAATTATGTGTATATGTAATGACGTGCACCGGGTGACGCCCAGCTTGGTGTCACCCGGTGCACACCCTCCTTGTGACGCCACTATATAGGGTATTGTATGTGTGTGCACTGAGTGCTGCCCTCATTCCACTGTGTGCCATATTGTGGTAGCCTGGCATCAGTGCTCTCTACCACCAGGGAATGTGCATTAAAGGGAAAGTTCATTTTCCCAAGTAGTTCAGGAAAATAGAATTACCCGCTCAAGTCTGGTCCCCTCTGCTATACTTCTCTTTTGGCGAAGGTCCTCCCCCGGTACGGTTGTACTATCCATACCCCTTACTGCCATCCTGCGCAACCCTGCACTATGGATTTAGAATTTCGCTCGCAAATTGCAAGCACTCATTGGCCAGCACGATCACCTTCTTTGCACGGTTAAATGCGGTTTTAGTTAAAAGTATTTTTTGTATCAAGTAGATTGTCATGAAGGGACAAGTTGGTTGAGCCCCCGCTATAGTCCTTGCACAAGTAGTGTTTTTTTTTTATTTCCACACCCCTGTAAAATGTTTCCTGGGGAAAACGGTGCTCCAGGCTCCTCTTAGTGCATGTCATTTAATTTCTGCTGAAGGAAAAGATTGGTTAATCTGGAATCTTATGTGGCACCCCCTTATAAGGGTCCATCTAAAGATTTGCACAGGATTTAACTTTTGTGAGCAGCACTGGAGGGAGCCTGAAGCGGCATTTGTTCAGCACAGTTCAGTATTTCAGCATTATTATTGCAGCACACGTCCACATAGTTTTGTTACAATCAGGTTTTATTGAGATTTTTTTTCCACATACATATCAAAGAATAAGCATACACAGAAAAACTTTGGTCTCAAAAGAAACAATACAAAAGAACAGAACATAAGGTGGGCGTCCCCTATTATCACAGTCAGTGATAATCAGATGTTGGAGCAAGGGTCTGACACTGAACAGTGCAGGCAAGCGAGCCATACAGAGTATCTCATAGTAAGGGCGGGGGACCACACACGCTGCCTGCCCCAGGTGATAAATCCCATTGTTCCCGTAACTCGGGAGTAGATGATATGGGACACTGAGAGGCTGCCTACACAGTGAAGTTCCCTTGCCCTCTTAAATGGCACAGGTGGGGTCAAGGGACAAATAGCATTTAGGAGAAGGACACAGTCAGTGAATCCACATAGTTTTAAAGTGAAACTATACTTCACTTTAAACTACGTCAAAGGAGAACACACACACACACCAGAAAAGTGATGCCTGTTGCTCCCTTTATTATTTTTTGCCCCTGTCCAATTTAATTTTATGAAGTCCTTTTAAGAACTTTATTTACTTTCCAATTACTGGCCCATAAGCGGAAACTTACACGGGACTGCTTCACACTCCCCCCACCCCCTCCGCTTCTCAGTGATGCCATCCTTAAGCTAGCATTGGCATGAATACTCTGATTTGAGCACTGTAGCAGGAATGCCTCCTGTTCAGAGAGCAGTGTTAGGTGCCCATGCCAAAGCTTACATTTCGAAGCTGGAGGCCACCATCGGCATAATAGGAATCCCCCCCTTTCAGAGATTAGTAAACAAAAGTTTGTTTTTGTGATTATTAGCTTGCCACAAAAGCCCTTTTTCTCGCAAATTCCTTTCGGCCCATTGTCTGATGGGCTCCCTCACTGGCCAGTACAGAATATGCAGGAGGCAGGAAGGGGTGAACATACAAGCCTTGCCATTTGCTGGAAGTGTTGACGTGCCCGTTAGAATGGCCTGCCATTTGGCTGTAAAAGCAGAGTGTTAGAGCCTGTTGAGAGTACATGCAAGCACTTGTAGGTGCATGCACTCTACACTTGCAGCAGGTATACTGCATGTACTGACAGATTCTCTTTAAAGCAGACCTTCCAAGAAAATGGGTCCCCAAGCAGAGCTATGGCCCTGTGTTCCAGTGCTTCTGGGACATGTGGCTGGCATTACTGCTTTCGCCCGAGAGAGATGGGTGTTCAAAATCCCTATATAATGCTATTGAGTCCATTGCAGGGACACACCTTAAGTGCAGGCACTTTGTGGTGCCGGCAGGTAGAGTGGTACCTTGGTCCACAAACTTAATTCGTTCCACGATTCTGGTTGAATCAAACTGTGATCAGACCGCAATCTCGACTAGAGGAAGCCACGACCAGTGTCAGAGCAGGGAAGATGGCTGCGGTTGTGTTCGTCACCCGATGCGGAGTTCGTGAACTGAAGCAACATTTTTCCGAACTCCCTGTTTGCGAACAGAAGTGTTCGTGAACCGAGGTACTGCTGTACTTGTTGGTCATAAAATTGGTCCTTGTTCACCCGTGGAGCCACTTGGATCCTGGGATTATGCTCAAGTTGAAACTAACACCTGGCCCTCCCGTGCTAAGGCCCATGCTCTGATATTCAACTTTCAATTTTTTTTTCTTGCATTATGTAAAAGAGAAGTAATTACCTATTGTTTTCTTAGTTGTAAATTTTCTGTTGAATCCTGCTTTTGTTATTCAATGTTTAATTATACTTGTCACATACATAGTTTTAGATTCAAATGTATCTTTCACTTATAGGAGTATCTTCTTCAATTTTCTAAGTGCATGGAATGTTTGTAATTAGTGTATTGCTTAATCAAATATTACTTTTACTATTGCAGTACCAGCATCTTAAAGCTAATTAATACATATTTTTAGATTCAAGTGATCTTGAAGATAATGAAGAACCTTTTATTGCACCTGAAGGGCTGAATGTGCCATCTGATGTAGAACTGGTAAGCCTAAAATGAATCTTCTATTTGTTCACAAGAACTGGATATGACGGGTGATGGTTGTTTGTATAATTGTGGTGGTTCAGTGTCTCCTATGATACAGTACATTGTTTTCTCCTGACAAATTCCAGGAGGCATGGTCATATGTTAAATATATCTTCTTGTGCTGTGATAGTAGAAACATTGTTTCTTTTAAACACACGAGCCAGGTGCTGGTGGCTCTAAATAGCATGGATAAACTGGGAGGAAGGTTATTTTTATAGTCACAATACTATTTCAAAATGTAGTAAAATATAATTCTGTCTTGTCCATTAAGGGAAACAGGAATTCAGATGCAGATGGTTAATACTACCACAGGAGAATTGGACACTGGCAAAGAAAAATTGTGTGCCAGCCCAAAATAACCCCCTCCAGCTCCCAGCATGCTTCAGTGTTTTTTTTAATGTTGAAGGAAAAGTCTAACTTTTTTATGCTAGCTACTTTTTCCTTTTTCAGTCTAGATTTCTACATTGCTGCTGAGCTGGTCTCTATATGCAGCTATCTGGGTCCACTTATTCTAAGCCTGTCCTTGGATGCCATACCTGAACCACCACTAGCCTGGAATGTGACCTGTGGACTCTGGGCTCCTCATGGTGGTGCTTTCCAGACATGCCTGTACTGGTAAAAAGTAGCCACAAATCCCTTTTAAGGTCCAGAGCTGTGGCATTGCCTCTGTGCTTTACCCTGTCTCCATAGACTCGCTTTGTAAGTAGGCTATGCACCAGGAGCTACCTTGTTACTAGGATCGCTGGGTGCAGCTATAACTCCTGCTTTCCAGAGGTCCAAACATGGAAGGGTTAACACTGAGGGATTGGTAGTTGATGTCATCTGCTGGGTGGAGTGTCGCCTGCACACTTTTCGGAAGTACCTCCCTGTTGCTGCTCCTGATCACAAGAGACATGTGGAACTCTCATTTCCGCCCCTGCTTGCCTGACTCCAGTGACTTGGTCACCTTTCGACCTCCTGACCCTATACTATACATGCTATATCCAAGAAGCTGGGTTTGTGAGTGCCTGAGATCTAGTTTTGTCTACTCAATGGCGTTGCCTTGCGGTGCAGCATATCTGTTTCAAGACATGGGGAACAGTCCCCACTACATGGTCCCTCCAGCTCACATTCCATTAATGGTTTCAGTGCTGATTGCAGTGTACCCCTTGTGGTGCATGACTGATGGCCTAGAATCTTGCCCCAGTTATGCTATCCGTGGAGTCTTCCTTCATTGGGTGTGGCCTTCTCCTGCTCAGTTAAGGGAGGATTTTAGTGCAATTGTGCAGGATTTGTGTGTGCCAAATAGCACAGATATTGGCCCCCTCTGACCACAGAGATCATGAATGCTCTGTGGTCAGAGGTGCCTTCCCCTGCAGAAACTATTTCTGTTCTGCCCACAGCTTTAGTGGCCTCTGAGCCTTCAGACGCTGACTCCCTGCCTGATATGGAACCTCAAGTCCTTGACAGAGGAGCCTTCACAGCAGTGGGTTTGAGCTGTCACCCTTATCTGTCACAGGTTAGCTGGTTAGCTAATTAGTCTGTCACTAGAAGGGATCTGATTACTATAGAAGTTGAACCTGTTGTCCTAGAGTGCTTGGAACTTATGCCTGCAGCTTTAAATCATATGGTGGATGGACTGTTGGAGGTTTTCCTCCTCATTTCCTGTATAAGGCTCCATTCACATAATGCGATTTCGTTTCCCTTGCGGCACACAAATTCTAAAATCTTTCATCTGCACAAATTCCGCTCGTTTGCAGCTATTCCTATAGCCGCAAACGTGCAGAATCTGTAAAAAAAAAAAAAAATTTATTGCGCTTGGACTATTTTGTGGGCCACACAGTTTCGTACCGCACCACCACCAACAAAGTCTGAATAATGCTCATTAAAGTGCATTGGTTTTTATGTTTATAGTGGCTTTGCGCGTATTCGATCAGCCAAATACGGGCAGACAACTGCTCCTGTATGAAAGGGCCCTAAGGTTTCTGTCTGTATATACATGATGGGGACTCTCTTTGGCCTAAGTGCCAAGCTGGGGAGTCAATGCCCTTGGAGGGGGAATGCCTCTTCTGAGAGGCTGTGGATGTCCTCTGTGAGATTTCGCTCCAAACAGTAGTGCATTAAGGACGCATCCACTCGCAGAAATCTTCATTTCAGGGCTTCCTTGCCCACTTTTATTAAATGACAGTTCACAAGCAAGAACAATTACCCTCGCAGGGATTCTTTAGCATATCTTGTTAACACATGCCCATCCAGCCTCCTGGCTTTGCATGTGCAGCACCGCTGCTCTGGCCTTAGGCCCCATTCACACCTGACCGTTTTGTAGCGCGTCCTACGCTCGATGAACGCTCTACAAAACGGTCAAAAAAATAAATTGCATTGTAGTCAATGGTATCGTTCCCACCTGTCCGTATTTCCGCCTGTCCCGAACGCACTACAAAACGGCCCACGCATGAAAAGGTCCCGGAGCGTTTTTTGCTGCGTATTGGTCCGTTTTGTAGGGCGTTTTCCATTTGTATACTGCCAAGTAGCCTTTGGAATCGCGCGACGGTCGCGCGACTTTTTTACCGCGAATCGCGGTAAAAAAAACACGTGACGGTCGCGCGACAGACGCGTATTGTAATATGCGCATAGGTGTGAATGGGGCCTTAGACCTCAGGCCACTGTCTGCTCCTCCAGACAGTCTCAGTCTCGTACTAAACTGCACAATTGGCTTTTCCATCCTGCAACACCCTGCTCCATGGGACTCCAATCTGACTCCCGGGTGGAGTTTTTCCTGTCTCCCAGGTGGAGCCCTGAACATTAGCCAGCATTCTCTTCATAATGGCTGTGCACAACCACTTGGTGCTGGCCACAACTAAAGTCTGGACCCAGGATTGGAGATTCCATCCCTCCCAATGCTCTTTGAAATCTCCCAGTTCCAGGAACCCAAGCCAAATCCAGAAAACCTGGGAAGAACTGCAAAGCCAGCTCTTTCCCAGTAAAAGTTTGCACTTTCTGGAACTGCTCAGCCTGTGAGTCCTGGGTGACTATATTGCCAAATGACACCATGGCATTGCCACGCACTGCCACACTTCATTAAGGAGGCTACTGGTGGCCAGAGTGCCCATGTTCCACAGCAGAAGCAGCCCATGGCTCAGTCTGGAAAGACTCTCGACAGAGGCCTAAAGGAGTGCTGTTTCTAACACCATGAACCTCCATATCCAAACCCGAGTCTGGCACCCAGTCTTTCCACAAAGCCTGGACTTCTAAGTATCTCCTAAGCATCTGGTAGTCTGCTTAGACTAACTGCATCTTAGATTATTTGCTGCAGGATTTAGTTTTCAGGGGCTACAAGAGTTTAACTCCCAGCCCCCTCTCTCTCTGCTTAATCACCTCCAATCTTCCTGTGTAACTGTTTTATTTTCATCTTAATAAAGCTACTAAAACTATTAGACTGCAATTTTTTGAAATGTACCTTTACAAGTCTGCCTAAATAAATGCACGGCATATCACAATTTGCAGCAACTGTTTTAGTTTCCAAGAAGCTATCTTTTATTCTGTTTCAGGGTAGGGGACACAGTTCTTTCCTCCAGTGATTATTGTAACTATAGCAAATCACAAGGCGAGAGGCAGGATCAGGGTTTGTAATCTCTGAGAGATGTGTACAGCTAAAAAACATAAAGGCTACCTTACAAGCACCAGGACTGATATGATTATAAAGGGAAATGATGTAGATGGGGACTCTGGATGTTGTCTGAACAAGGATGGCACCAGTCTTCTAGGGGGAAAGAAAGATGAAGAGATGTGTAATCTGTTTTAGAAGTAATACATTACCTGCACTTGACATTTATCATGCATACATTTAACATGGAAAAATACCTGATGCAAAGTTCCCTTTAATAGCATGTTTTTTTTTTTTGTAACATTAATTTAAAGCCGGTTTCTCATTGACAACATTTTTTTTATCTTTCTTACACAGCCAGCTACAGCAAAAATGCACGCCATCATTGAACGCACAGCAAGTTTTGTCTGCAAGCAGGGTGCTCAGTTTGAGATCATGCTAAAGGCAAAGCAAGCCCGGAATTCACAGTTTGACTTCTTACGATTTGACCACTACCTCAACCCTTACTATAGGCACATACTGAGAGCCATGAAGGAGGGACGCTACACTATGCTGGCAGAAAAACAAAATGAAAAGCAGAAAAGTATGTTTTTTGGTTTTTTTTCCTCCCAGATCTCATGTGAGCTTTTTGTTTTGGTAAAATGTAGTCATGTTTTGTAATTTCTTTTTTAATCAGACATTTCAGAATCTTTGTATTGAAGGAAGTGATTGCCATTTTGCTTACTGTACTTATGGAACCTGAAATATATTTATAAAGATTGTTAAACTTTCTTGTGTTTTTTTTTTTTTTACATTCACAGATAATTGTAATGTCATTTATAGAGTTAAAATGACTGAATACAATATAGTGTATACAAATTGGCAATGGCTAAAATAAGCATAAAAGGGAAACTATATAATGGTTTTGGGTGGAGGAGCACCGAAATGGAAATTTTTTTAAACGAAACCG